AGGCTCTATTATTTGCTGGTTTAAAGTGAATTTGTTGCAGAGATTTAATAGTTCGTGTGTCTGTGAATTTTCATCTGAGGTGCCTCCCGGGGTGATCTCTGCTAAGACAATGTTTGCTATACTCCTCCATTTTAGGTGTCTCAGGTTGAAATCTTCTAGTAGTAAGATGTTTGGGGCAGGAGTTGAGAGATTTTCCAGACAGTGGTCAATTTTCTCAAACTGCTCCTGGAATTGCTGGGAAGTTGCATCTGGAGGCTTGTATACTCCCACAATGACAAGGTTTTGGTTTTCAATCTTTACCACCAAAGCTTCATCTACATCATTTGAGGTGTTTAGTAGTTCTGTGCAAATAAGCGACTCTGTGACATACAGGCCAACCCTTCCTTGTTGCCTGTTTAGTCTGTCGCATCTGAACAGGTTATAACCTGGGATCCATATATCGTGGGTCTCTGTGAATGCTGCAAGCATTGCATTTGACTCCGTGAGTAGTCCCTTGATGTAAGGAATTTTGTTGTTTTTTGACGGCTTTAGACCCTGTATGTTTGCAAAGACAAATGTCGTATTGGTGGAATTTAGGGTTTTTTTATTTGCTGGCTCTAATATCTGTTGTTCTGGGGTAGAGGCCAATGTCCGTGCCTCTGTTCCAGACGTGTTTTCAGGTGGTGTAGGATTACTGTCATTTCTTGCCAGTCTTTTTTCTCTTCTGGCCCTAAAGAACCTCTGTCCCTGGAGAGGTTGTGGCTCCTCTCTTTTGGTTTACTTGGTCCCACCTTATGTTTTTGTTATTGAAGTTGAATTTAGTGAAGACTCCCTCGTGACTGATCACATTTTGTTGGTCTCCCCCCCCCCCTCCCCGCATACATGTCTGGACCTCTATTATGTTGTGATCTGAGTATATTGTTTTTGATATGATGACATTTCGTATCAGATCATCATTGTTAGTGAAGATCAGGTCCAGCATATTCTCCAATTGTGTTGGCTCTGTTATTTGCTGGTTTAAGGAAAATTTGGTGCAGAGGTTTAAAAGATCGTGTGTGCAAGTTATCATCTGAGCTGCCTCCTGGTGTTATCTTTGCTGTAGCATTATTTGCTATATTCCTCCATTTTAGGTGCCTTAGGTTGAAATCCCCCAGGAGCAAGATGCTGGGAGCAGGAGCTGGAAGATTTTCCAGACAGTGGCCAATTTTCAAAAGCTGTTCCTGGAATTGTTGGGACGTTGTATCCGGAGGCTTGTAGACTACCACAATGACCAGGTTTTGTTTCTTGATCTTTACTGCTAAAACTTCAACTACATCATTTGAGGCATTTAGTAGTTCTGAGCATATAAATGACTCTGTGATATACAGGCCAACCTCCTTTACCCCGCTTTTGACTGTTCGCTTTGTCACGTCTGTATAGGTTGTAACTCGGGATCCACATTTCACTGTCCAAGTTATCCTTTATGTGGGTCTCTGTGAAAACCGCGAACATTGCATTTGACTCTGCAAGCAGTCCACGGATGAAAGGTATTTTGTTATTCGTTGCTGGCTTTAGACCCTGTATATTTGCAAAGATGAATATCGTCGGATTGGTGGTATGGGGGGTATGAGACTATACAGGATAATATACACTTAGAAAATCCTAGAGGGATTAGTACCAACTTTTTACACGAAAATCACCCCCTTCGAAAGCAAAAGACTCGACAGGAGATGCAACATCCCCCAGTGAATAGCAGGGACGCCATGAGTACACCGAGAGACAACAATAAGTGTCAAGGGCCCAAGACTGTTCAACTGCTTCCCAGTATACGTAAGGGGGATATCCAACAGACCTCTGGCTGTCTTCAAGAAGGCGCTGAACAATCACCTAAAGTCAGTACCTGATTAGCCGGGCTGTGGTTCGTATGTCGGTTTACGTGCTGCCAGCAGTAACAACCTGGTTGATCAGGCCCTGATCCACCATGAGGCCTGGTCACGGACCTGGCAACAGGGGCGTTGACCCGCGAAACCTTCTCCATGTATACTCCAGGTATGACGATCATCCAAACATCGTTGACAATGATCATTTCCTCAGAGCAAAAATTTGATTGAGATAATGTTTTACGTATTCGTGACTGTACTACTATATACAAGTCGCTTGTTATGCAGAGCATATCGGGCAAATTAGGTCAGTTTTGTCACAGGATACGACCCACACCAGTCGACTAACACCCAGGTACCCATTTTACTGATGGGTGAACAGAGACAGGGAAGACAGCGGCTTTCCTGTCCTATTTAGTGGCTCATAGCCTCTTCATATATGTAAACTTGCTTTCCATCCTTTTCCTCTCGAAATACCTTTCTCATGTTGTCATCAGTGTATATCAAACGCTCCGTTAAAAAAAAAAATACTGACAAAGCAAAGCCCAAACAGTAGCTTATATTATAAACTACGACGATCTCTATATTCCCTCACTGACGATTCACTTCGAGACATTAACAGACTTTTTGAACAGTCAGGTAGGCATAGGTTTATTTCTTCATTCTTCTTTCCTTCCTGGTTGTCAAGTAACCATATGTCAAGATAATGAAAAAAGGTCGCCGCCTCTGTCACAGTGGCCTGTCTCTCTCTCCATAAAACCCTACAAAGGAAGGGGAATTTGAAGGATACACACCAAGTGGGGTTTCTCAGTATGTCACTCAGTTTTCCAGTGTATATACATTGAGAAAGATGTTTTGGTGAGAGGTTTATATGCAGCCTTAATGGCCCTCATGTAGGCGATAGGATGTAAACACAATTAACCAGGCAACTGTCAATATGTGTAGTCCAAGACTCTTCAGCCTGCTACCAACAGATATCAGAAATATTGCCGGAGCATGTGATGTTGATTTAGGACATTTATTTTCAGATAAATTTAATAATGCTCTGTTTAACTAGAGTGAAACCCCACTTAGTAAGGAATCTTATACTCGAATGTAATCCCAATTCTCACTTTATCCTATTTTATTCATAGACATTAGCCTCTCCCAAGCACATAATGTTTGTTGCCTCTGTGTTGAAAGTCTTCATTGTATGCTCAGTGGTTTCAGCAACTTATTGAAATGTTCAAATGACTCCACATTATCAAAGCCATATTAGCTTTCATTGCCAGGCTATGAATATTCAAAATGCTGATATTCAGTTTATATACACGGTTAGTTTTATATCTTTACCATGCACGAATAACCAGTCCTGTGAGCGGTAGTAAAAATATTAAAGGGGGAAATGTTACGACACTTTACTGATGGCATCATCCGAAGTAAAAAAAAAAAAAATTCCCGAAAAGGATATCAGGAAACATTATTATTTTGTTAATTATTTTTTTATTATTATTATTATTATTATTATTATTATTATTTTATTATTATTATTATTATTATTTTTTATTTTTAAAAAAATCGGGGGAACACAAAGGGCCCACTGGCTCCTGTTCTTTGTTCGTTTGCAGTCATCGTTTTTACGTTTTCGTGAGTTATTAATTCATCGGGCACTAAACCCCCAAAAGTCGTCCCTTTTTTCGGCAAAGGGGAGAGTTGATGAGGGGAAAAAAACAGCGAAGTGATGAATTGAGGGGGGCACAGTTGATGTACAATGATGAAGTAAGGACACTTTTGCAACACTGGGTATTTTATTGTAGCGTTTCGCCACCGTGGTTTATCAATACAAATTCTAGGACATAACTTGAAGACGAAACATGTACATAGTTTTACGTCTTTAAGTTATGTCCCGAATTTGATTGATAAAGCCACTGGGTGGGAAACGTCTACAATAAAGTTTCCCCAAATTTGCACAAGTGTTTACCTCTCTTGCGGTTTATATACCCTTCGTACACAAATTGATGTATCAAACAGACGAAGTGATAGTTGGGGGGCACAGTTGACGTAGCAATACGTCCTGATATTAAGTGGCGTGCTTCTGGCATGCCAGTTTAATTTGCTAGGGGCCTAGGGACCTCTAACCCCAATAATTGGTTGAACCAGGGGGTTAAAAAGGAAAACCCTAGCCTAGGGGGCCCCGGTCTGTGAGAGGCAAACCCCCTTAAAACCCGGGACGGGGTATGTCAAAGGTCTAGCTGATCTTCCTTGCAAATAGTGCGGGCAATCGGAATGAATAGTAAACATGAAAAAGAGGCGGTACAGGAAAAAACTTTTCTGAAAGATACGTACTCATTCCCACCCTTTTTCCTCCCCTCATAACAGTATGACATAGAATGAAAAACCCCAGCACCGTGCCTTTGCTGCTGATGATGATGAGATCCCAACTTTCATGACAGTGTCATCCACGAGGAGAGAGGGGACCTAGCTCCCCCTTTCAGTCTCCCCTTTTCTTAGTATTTGACTGGCCCCCCTCTTACTACCCCCCACTCTATTCTCCTCTCCCCACCCCCACCACTACCTACCACTAACCCCCTCCCGCCCATATATACCTTCTCGTTCTCCTTTTTGTTGTGTGATTTGTAAAAGGTCCAAGTCGGACCCCAAACGTCGTCGAAAACTCCTCTTCAAGTGCGGGGGTTTTTTGTGTACAGTATCCCCCGGGCGCTACCCATTTTGTTGATGGGATCGAGATTTGGCTCCTGGGCCCGCCTCTTGACCTCAAAAATTGGCCAGTATATACTGATTTCCCCCCCTTATCATTTTCCTTCTCTTGCAACTGTGTAAAGTTTACCCCGCTTCGCTTGTCACTAGTTCATGCCACTTATTTACTACCGTAAATCTCTACCAGGTATCATCTGTGTTTTTAGTTTCCATCTGTACACTCTTGCTCATGTGCCTCGGGTTTCAAACAATGCCCGGTGTCTGTATAGAAACCTCAGAGTACCTTATGCATCATTATTATATCCCTCCCGGTCTTCTCTTTCCAGTGTCATATTTAATCCTCTAAGCCTCTCACAGATCAACATCCTTAATCTTTTAACAGCATACTTGCAAATCTTTGCACTTTCTCTAGTTTTTGAACCTGTTATCTTTGGTCTACAGCTTATTATATTCATTACTTTTCAGAGTTGGAGGATTTAGCGAAGCAGGTGCAGGAACTCCAAGATCTTATTTTCTTCTATAACCATTTACGGAAGGAAGGGGANAAGTATAATACGTCATGATGAAGAGCTTCTTGTCTATAGATACCATCCTAATGCAACAACTTTTTCAATTCACGAGTCAGTATATTCCTTGATAATTATATAGTCATTGCATTTAATATGTGGAATATACTTTCTGTGTTACAATATGAATGTATGTATGTATACAACATGTATCATGAGTGCTGCATCAAGTATACGAGACCATTATACATGTATAGTACTTGCCGTATATTATACAATAATTATGTACAGTATAGCCAGATCCAGTGACAAATTCTTTATTAATTATTTGCCAGAGAAACCATATGGGATCTGAGGGTAAAAGAAATCCAGGAACGAGTACTGGGTTTGTGGGAATCGTTTACAATATGGAATGCTGGAAAGCAAGGACGCAAGTTCTTCCGATCCCTTCTGCCGGAAAACCAGGAAAAGGTGACAGCCTTCTGTGATGTGGATGTTAAGAAGATTGGCTCATTCTACACATATGAAGAATCCTGGAAAAAAATAAAACCAAAAGTGCCAATTATCCACTTCAAAGAAGCCAAGCCACCGTTAATAATTTGCATGAAAATGGTAAGTTGGTGTTCATTATTTTCTATGGCTGCTAGATTGAGGGTTACTGATTATGACTCGAACCAACGTCAGTATGAATATGATATACAATACAGACAAGTTGATAAGTAAGACACATGTGCAACAGTTGGGTCGGGACGACCATATGGCAGGTGGCCGAGCGTATGTAGACAGCCTGTACTGTCTGCACAGACAGCCCATGCTGTCTGCCAGCTTAGTTCATATTTCGCGCCACTCAGGTGCTGCCCCCTGGGCCTGTCCAAGTCTGTGGGAAGCTGGTCCCACACTTTCACTCCCACAGCGGCCTAGCAGGAAGACACAAGGCCTAGTGGGATGACCCTCCCGGGCCATGGGCACAACACACAAGCCTTAACAATAAAGTAAGAGCCTCCGAAGACGTTTATGATTCACACCCCGCTACCAGTACACCAATTAATCTTGGTACACATCTTTATTCCGAAACTTTTCGGAATTAAGATACCTAACAGTTGCACATGTGTTTTACTTATCAAACTGGTATCAGATAGGAAAACAAAGAGACGGTCTGAGGAGAAAGTGGGGCCATCGAAGAGAGCATACAAAGTATGTCAGGGTGTTGGAGCAAAAAATATGAGATTATTTCCTTGTCTCTTTGACAAATACAATGATCAGTCATAATACTTAGAACTATCAGGGCGACCCGACAGTCCTTGCAGAGTGGTGCCCTCTGTAAAATAAATATATTACAGATTTTGATAAAGCTTAAATAGTTTTAATAGTTTTAATAAAGGGACATGATTTTTCATGTTTTTTGCTAGAATTCATTTTCTGAGGAAACCCACGTTGTTGTGCTAATGTTTTAGACGAGTCTAAAGGGATGGAGGAAGGGGGCGGAGTTATTATAGAAAGCTAACAATACAGTTGAAATTTTATTTATAACAGATACTAAATTTGACAAATAATTCAGTCGAAAATTTTATCAAATTCTTTCTCCAAACATCCAGAATTTAAATAGAAATTCTTGTGGAGTACAATGTTTAGTGTTTTTTTTCCAGCTAACAGTGGCCAGCTTCAACTTGCCCCTACAACCAGGCGCGAGACTTTGCTCGGCGCCTTCAGGAAGAGATCGTTTTCAATCTCGCCTGAGCTAGCGAGTTGCATAGTTTGGTTTAAAATCACTCTTATTATTGAATGAAATTTCTTGTTTGTAACTTGGACACTGGACTTTCCCGTCCTCATCTCCACATCCTCATCCTTCTACAGCTGGATATTGGTGGAAGTACATTTGCTAGAGGATTATCAAGGCCATACTGCAGAATAAACGAGTATGAATGATGAAAATAAAGTATTTCAATATACAAATGCTGCTCTACCCAAGCTGCCAGTTAGATTTTCAGAATGTTTTTAATAATCTTCCTGGCCTGCTAGTGTACTCGCATATAATCTAGTGATACCAGTGAATAGCAGAATACAGTGCTGTAGTAGCAACTAACCAATATTATAATGGTACTTAGTGGAGTGGAGTGACTTTCATTAGTTTCTTTTTTCTTGAAATACCAGACGTATACTGTGAATTTCATATAACCTGTAGTTACAGCGGGTCGCAATATACACAACGAGAAGCAAATATTACTACAGAAAAAGCGTCCTTCCTCCAAAATTTCACCAGTCAACTATAGTGGGTAATATAGCATTAATTGTGATGGAGACGGAAAAAAAAAATTTGAAAAGCTAGATACAGCGATTGTAAACAAGGGTGGAGGTCGACCGTTCGTCATTGTAGGAGCTGCCAGCAGTCACCGGTTTCTTCAACACGCAAGTTATACTTTTGTATCAATCAAATCACAAAATTACTCGGGTAGATAATTTCCAGTAGATCCTTCATGTGGGTTTGCCCAAATCACGACCAGTATGTTTTAAATAAGCGACCCCACTGATCAGATCAGATCGACTGGTCCGAACCCTTGACTGGTCCGAACCCTTGACTGGTTTCAAACGGTTTCGTTTTGGGCAATAAAGCAGACTGTAAAAAGGGTTTGGGGTGTAGGGGGCCCCTTTTAAACACAAACATTAAATATATATCAGGAACATGCACGGTAAGCTGTCCAATATACAAAAACAGTTAGAAACAGAAATACAAATAGCTAGAGCTTCATTTAAGGGGTTATTAATAGAATATTTTAAGAGGTTGCTAGTAGAAATTTCAGTAAATCAACCATTTAAATCATTATGAAGTGTGTGTAGTCTGTGTCAGTCAAAAAAACGGCTTCCACATGGATAAATTGTCATTTTTGTGGAAATTGGTGTCACGCCCCCTTGTGCAGATATCCAAGAACTAGCTACAAGCAGTGTTAAAACAGGGAAGTGTTTTTGGGTGTGCCCAAATGAGATAAATCTGTGGACTAAAATCACAAGGGATTAAAAGAGGACACATCAAAGCTGCTTTTATAGAAAACCTGGAAGCTTTCTCAAAGATGGGAACATAAAAATCTGGGCTGAAAGGTACTGCCCTT